ACCAATTAGTCACAAGAAAATCTTCATTTCAAAAAAAAAAAAAAATGGTTATTGAACATTTACATACCTATCAAGGTCAAAGAGCTTTGGAGTCTCAAAAGTGACACCAAGCCCCTGTACATCGGCTGCAATTGACAGCCACACAGGATCTAGCATCCTCACTACTTCGCAACACGTCATTAGATCGCTTATAGGACCCTGTTGGACAGATCAAGCACGAAATATGAAGAAGTGTACCGAGACCCAGAGCTAGACAGCAGACATGTCGTGTACGCTACCTTCTTATATCCAGTAAACGTCAGTTTGATTGAACGCTCTTCTCTGGGTTCTAGGGTTCCTCGGTTTGGTTCGAACGTGAGAGTATAGTCTCCTTGGAGTATCTGGAGCAAAAGAGTGAAAAAGATGAAGTGAAAAATTGTTAGCCAGGTAAGCTGAAGTTTTTTCGCCACTAAGATTCACTAACACAGCCTCTACTGTTACCGGGTAGCATTAAAAGAAGTAACCAATTCCATTTTGAGAAAGAATGAAGATTCCAACCATAGTGTCAATTGATTAGTGTTTACGACCAGAGCAAGCCAAGACGAGACAGAATCTGGCTAAATGAAATGAAATGCTCTTTCCCAGCAAACAGATTGGTCACTTTGATATGAGTTAACCCGGCTAAAGAGATCGCACTGTAAGCCTTTATTTCTGCTCTCACCTCTTTCCACTCAAACTGTGCTCTCAGCATGGATTGATTATGTAGCACAACTTCTCTGCTGACAGGGACACCAAAATAAACCTTCTCGATGTACATGTCGCACGACAACAAACACACTTGAGGTCTCTGCACCTCAGCAAACACTGATAAATAGCTGAAAGAAGACAAAGAAAGGTGAGAGAAACCAAAAAAATTCAGTCAAACGAGCAAACTTTGTATGTGACCTACTTTACAAACAGGTTCTCTGGAGCTCAAATGGTGGAGCATTTGGAGGGCTCGATTGCTTATCGGTGGCCTCTTACTCTAAGGTTTTTTTAAATGTACTCTTAGTTAGGAAATTCTTGCTTTTCATAACTTTCTGCGACGAATTACAAGGAAATTTAGCGTATTTGAGATGATAAAGCACTAGGAATAGAAAGCATGAAACGGTCACGTCCAAAACTACACAATGGCCAAATCGACTAATCATTCTTGAAAAGAAGCGAAAGCATCACTATCGATTGCAATCCGTGATGTTTAGTTTCTGCCTTACCCGCGCGGTACTGAGTTTAGTTCGCATATTCGTTTTAATCACGTTTCCATCTGGTTTACAAATTTTTCAAACCAGATCTTACGATTAAGACCAAGCTAAACCAGATCGTCTAGTCAGATCTTTATTTCGAATCAGATTGTACGGATTGAGACAAAATAAATGGAGTTAAAGGATCAAGTCGAACTTTTGTTCTACAATCACAATCATTCTTCCAGCAATTATTCCATTTACATACATACATACATAGGTTAATTGACCACTCCCCATAGGGCCGTTTCAGGGCCAATACCCACCCGTCCCACCCAGGGGAGGACAACCACCACACAGTAATCTCGTGCGTGGGAAATTAACGTCTCCTACCCCTAACCCTGCAGGAGACGGGGCCTACGGTTTATTCGTCCTTATCCAAAAAGACTACAATATCTAT